AAGTTAAGTTCAATTTTAGAAAGTGCCATTTCCATAGTGAAGTCCAATATAAATACTTCAGTTAACACTTAAGATATGGTGTTATCAATCCAAACTCCTTCTTTTACACTTTTACCATCTGTAACAGTTTAGTTTATAGAAAAAAATAATATACTTCCTAGGGGAAGTAATTTATTTGTCATATATGACTTTATGTTCTCTTTAATCTGCAATGTTATATTTCACTCATGTAAACGATTTAGCTATTTCTATACAGCACACAAAGGTTATTCCCTTTCAAGTAATGTCCTGAGGTGACAATTGCAGCTATATTCTCAGTTGACACATACCAATCCTAATACCTCACCAGAGGAAATGCAGAAGTGGTCTGTTCACCCTAGCTGTATTTACTGAGAGCTACAGTTTTTCTCTGTTAAGTATCCCTCTAAACTATCTATATTTCACATGCATGGGAAGTGGGGCCAGAGAAGCACGATTACTAACATAGACAGGACAGCAGGGCAAATTAATCTGCTTGTTTTCATATGAGTCTGAGCCAATTCTGATGCTCTTCATTCTCTGACTGAGCATTACAATTGGACTCCCAGGGATAGGTATTAAATTATTTGAATTAGAATTATATTGGAATAGGTTATGTCCCTTTCTGCTAATGTGTGCTTGTTTTGCAGTGGCCTGTGATCTTTGAACAGTTCAGTTATTAAAGGAACATGAGGAAAAAAGGTGACTAAGACAATCGGCCCTTGATGTTGTTCAGCACTGTTTTTTCTCAGATTGCCAAGCTACAACACATTGGTATAGATGCTGTGTTTAACAATGGCATGAATAAAGATATGCCAACTTTGTGTGCTCTGGAATTGTCACAGGGCTTTTATTTTACTTAGTTTTTAATTTTCACCCTTATTTAATCATTAATTTATGAAGAAAAAAAATTACCAATTTGCCCTCATAGTACTACTTAAGAAATATGAGATATAAGGAAACTCTATGTCCACTGTGGTATATTGTTTCTTGGATTAAAAGACAATAAAAAAGAAAAACAAACAAACAATTAATTACAACAAACAACAACAGGACAACCTGAAGGAAATTTAAATAATTGAGATTTACATATGAATATGTTTGTATGGATATTAATAAATCTGCATGATGGAAGAAATGAAACAAATATTGCACATAAGCTTTTGCAAACAGGACATTTTAAAAATTGTGAGAGAAAAGACTGTGTTTTTCACCACACTGCATTAAGCACAGAATTGCCAGCTGGTCAAAGGAGGTGATTGTCCCACTCTACTCTCTGCCAGAGTCAAAGCAGTAATGGATCACAACATAAGATATATTAGGAAGTGTCCAGAGGGCTACAGATATGGTAAAGAGCCTTGAGGGGAAGCCATACAAGGGGTGGCTGAGGTCACTTGACTGTTTAGCCTGGAGAAGAGAAGCCTGAAGAGATTAAAGCTGTATCGTTGATCTATGCAGAGTGGACTAAGTCACTCTTTGGGAAGTTACAGATGTAGGCAAGATTCACTCCTGTGGATCGCTCTTGTGATTCTCACCTGGTTCTGAGAGCAATCAATGGAAATACATCTTGGAGTTTGTCACATAAACAGATACAGTTTTTAAGGCAAAACCCTCAAGAAGTAAATTAGTAGGCAAGACCTTCATTAATGTTAATATAGCTGATATTTTGCCAAAAGCTAAAATGAGTATTGAACAGCACTGGACTTGTCCATCATCTCTGTTGTAGTGCCTCCACACTGCAATTATTCTTTGAATTACAGTTAGTAAAAACCTTTTTCCTGATAGGAATAAAAATACTTAAGGAAAACCAATAAAAACGGATGCAAATCAACAGCCCAAATATTTGACTTTGTGATATTTCAGTTGCCTGGAATTTTTTTATAATTCAACAATCCACTCATCCTCACAAATCACACAGCTTCACAAGTCACAGATCCTCAGCAAAACCCCCTTCTTTTTTAAAGTTGTGAGAAAAATAGCCTACGGAATTAATCACAGAACCATAAAATATGCTGAGTTGGAAGGGACCTATCAAGATCATTGAATCCAATTCCTGGATGTGTGAAGGACATCCCAAGAATCTAACCATGTGCCTGAAAGCATTGTACAATTTTGTTTCATCTTACTGCTTGTTTGGGGAAGAAGTTTAGTAAGAGAACAAGAGGATGGACTCTTCATGAACAGAGTATTTTGGATCTTGCACTATGGATCAGATTTCTTGCTCTGCTACAAATTTGGCATGACTTTGAACAAGTGACTTAGAGCCATTTAGGGTATACTAATGGGTTCTAGGTATAGTGCTGCAATCATAGCTTACAAGAATCCTGACATGTGGTGGAATCCATACAGCTGTTCCCACAGGGACAGACAGATGCTTACATACCAGATCCAGGAAGCCAGCTTGCTACACAGGGAGCTATATTGATATTTGGCCAATGGTGAATATAAATGAGAAGTCCTGTCTGAGGTGAGTATATGAGTTCCATGAACAGGAATGTTACTAATAATTCTTGCCTACCCTTTGGACAAAACCGTCAAACCATTTCCTTATCCACCAAACTACCCACATATCAAACACATTTCTCTGCAGTTTACAGAAGAGGATGTTGTGGGGGGCTGTGAGAAAGATCTTACAGAAGCCCAGATAGATAACATTCATAGCTTTTCTCTTGTTCACTGATGTAATTATTCTATCATAAAAGGCAAAGAAATATGTTTTTGAGAGTCATAATCTCTGAATTCAAGTTCTTGATCTCCCAAAGATTTTGTGTTTTATTTTGAAAAATTTAAGTATTTTTGTGCACTTAGGTGTAGTATTTCACAGATTTGGGAAGAGAAATACTTCATTGTTGGCAACTCAGATGTTACACTCATGGTTCAACCCAGTAGATTTGCAAGTGGGTACAGTGAAAATGTGTTTTTTGGAAAATAAAAAAAGCTTTTAAGCTAAAATAATAGGTATGCATGGTGGGTACATTCAGTAAGAGTTTTTTTGAGAAAAACGGTGTGGGACAACAAATATTGAGTTTACCCTGTGCTATCACTAAATACATATTATAGGGCTACAACCTCCTTCCTGCTCGTTTCCCCTCCAATGATATCACCTGATATGTCCTTAAAAACATACAAGGAAAACAAGTAGTTCTAGTTCTGAATGCACAAAGGACTGAGTGCATTATCCCTGCAAATCTATAAGAGAAAACTGATATCAGTAACAGCGGTTGCCACAGCTCTATTTATTGTATGAAGTAGAAGGAACTTTTAAGTCAAGAAAACTCTTTCTAGAAGACATTCACAGGCTTTCAAAATTAATTTCCATTAAATTAGTCATTCCTTTTCTGGAGATCAACTGTTTTCATTTTTAATGACTGATAGTTAAAAGTTTGTATCACACATTTCTACACACGCAGGCAGTGTGTCAGAAAATTATCCAAGTTATGCACTATGGAATATCTGATCCAGTTAGAGTACAAGGACACTGTATAATTATGGATTTATAACTAGATATTTCTCATTCTTTTCTATAGTTTGCCATGAGCTGACAATATCTGTATACAACTTTCAAATGAAAGAGACAAAAGCCAGGTCTTCCCAGCTAAACCTAGGTATGCAAATACGTACAGTTATCAACAATTTGTTGAAGATAGTCAGAAGCCTCTGAGGTCAGACTGGAGAAAGATGAACAGTGTAAATAAGAGAAAAGTCAGGATTATTTAAATACATGTTTTTAAAGCTTCACTTTAAAGTTATTAATAATATGTATAATTTTTCAAAGTTTTCTGTCATAATTATTGGAACATGACTTTCATTTAAAATGCCACTATAGAAATAATGATAAGGGGTTATTGTTTCTAATTCAGGATTGCTGCTAATAGGCTGAGGTTAATAAATTTCAAGACCTTTGGCTCAGGAGCCTAAATCAATAAACACTACCCCTTTGGTTTTCATCCAATGGCAGGATTATTGCCTTCTATTATGAAAAGAATGACTAAATTGGAAGCATAGTCATCTACACAATTTCATCATCCACCATCATGAAACAGTCTTTTATTATTTTTCCCTCTGATAAATGTTATATTACTTTATTGCATTTTTCCCTTTCATAACTTTCTACAACAGAAAGAAAATATAAAAAGAAAAATTCAAGAAAATACTCTATTGATTGTTTGAATTCTCTGAAGATGCATATCATTATTTGGGCTCTAATACGTTCATTTTTATATCACCAAGAATTTGGGTCTGAATGGACCTCTTACTAATGATGTGGTGTTTCAACTTTAGGAGGCCAGTGATCTATTTTCCTATATTTAGTTATTGAATTTCATTTTTTTTAACATGGCAATATCTAAGCAAAACGAAAGGACTTTAAGCTAATAGAAAACAAATTTCCTTCTGCTTAAGTGGCACCCCATTCTTGACAGGTGTGGTGTTCTTAGTGCCTCTGTTTCAGTACCGAAAAGGAAAAATCATTGCTGACCATCTTATTGACAAGCTTCCTATACTTAAAACATGGTTTTGTGGGGTGCACTATGTGATTTTTCGCTACATATAAAAAAACTATATTACCTGCTATTGTTACACAATGAAAACTACCAATTTGAAGAAATATACCCTAAAGTATAATTATTAAAAAAAAAAAAAACAACAAAAATGTGGACAGTGATTTTATTGACAGACTTCTTAGCCATTTAATCTTTTAGAGTTCCCTTGAAGTCAGTGTAAAATCACAAAAAAACCCCACCAATACCATATTCCACTCACTGATTGAACTGATAGAAAAATAGTCTTGTGTTCTTATGCCTTTTCTGAATAAAACAGATACCAGCAATTCTGAAAAGTTTAAATACTTTTATAGTTGGCATTGATCAAAGTGTCAGTGTATATTATTTAAGCACTGGAGTATTTATTTATAAAGTAAATCCTGTGATTGTGAAGTAAAGGTAGCAAACATTAATTTTAAAGAGTGAAAACCTAAAAGCAAATAAGAGTGACATCACATTTATTTTTATTTGTCTCCAGTTCTGTGATCTATTTTTAAGAAAGTGTCACTAAGAATGCTCAAGTTCTTGAAGAAACAAATACACACTTTTTTGAAAACCCTTAAAAATATCATATTTCCTTTATCCAACCACAGGATAATGTACAATTAACCAATGCATTTGTCTGGTCATCTGTGACTGAATTGTTAAAGAAAGAAATAAAAGTGATTACAGGTTTTGCAGTTCTTTTGGAGAGGTTGTTAAAGACTTATTTATCTATTAAACAAAGCAATAGCAAATCAAAATTTTTTATTCTGATTCATTGTTTTTTACATGTAATACTCCTGAAAAAACTACCTTACTAGGGAAATTGTCCCTTATAGATGGAAAAAAAAATAGTGCTGGTTTATATATTTCATTTTATTACTTAAATATGAACATGTGGAAAGTTGAAAAAGTACAGTTTAACTGCAAAAGGAAATCTTTTAGTTAGAAGTAAAATGTCAGTACTACACTGAGACTTCTTGTTGCACTTCTCTGCTTGGTCATATCAAAGGAAGGTGACATGTACATCTCAGTCTCAAAGGTTGTAGATTCCTGTTATAAATACAGCAGAGCTGAAGACCAAATCACTGAAAAAGAAAAAGCATAGTAAAATCATTGTTACCATTTGGATCATGGACACCATTATGTTCACAAATCTTTCCAAGGCTCCTCATTCAATTGAGAACAAACTGCATACACAGTCCCTTCCTTTTGACAAACCATTTAAAACCTGTCAATGAATAATTAGAGTAGTAAATGTAAATATTTCTGTAGCAAATATGTGCAGGTTGATATTGTGGAACCACTTTTCCTAGTTCAATCACTGAAATGGTGCATAATGCCATTTTGACAAAGTGTTACCAGTTTACCTCATGCAAATACTTGGCTCTTTTCACCAGGAATTAATTTTGCTATGCTTTCTCTTTTCCTAGCAAAAAGACATTTTAGAGGCTAGTTCTAAAGAAGGTTTACAGAGACCAGGGAAAAGTGTGAAAATAATGACATGTGAACAGCCAGATTCTTCTCCCCTTCAATAAACAGTTCTACAGAATGTGATCATGTAAATCCCTGTGCACAACACAGAATGCAGAAGACATCTGGACAGAAAATAAATAAAAAGGATATAGTAGAAAAAGAAACAATTTTTCACGTCACTTTCTTATTTATTATTTTTACAATGCACTGGTATTGCTGTTCTTACAATGCAAGAACAGCAGAGCTTCAATGTGTAATCGTGCTTTCATTCTTATTTTCATCATAAGACTTAATAAAATAGTTTTATATCAATTAACTTTTAGAAACCATAGCCTTGATCATTTGGGCTAGTTCTTTTTCATACTATGACTTAAATGACACAGGTCTTGCTGTAACACAACTAAAATCCCTACAAAAAGGAATTCCGCGTTGACAGCTGCACAACATGGTTTTGCCACTTTGGGCCTGAAGTGCTTGAAGGACACTATAGCAGAAATAGATTGAATGAGACTTTGAAGAAGAGAAATATCGCTTTCTTAGCAGCATTTTTTCCCCCTATAATACAGAGATGGTAAAAATTGCTGAATTTTTGCACAGGATTAAGTTGAGGGGTTTTTTGAGTTTTTTTTTATTTCACAATAACCAGGGCATCGTCAGAAGTAATTATATTTTCTTCATGAGCTTATTAACAGTAAACTTAACATTTCACAACTGTACATTTCATGCCATATTAACATTTGCTTGTGTGCTTCTGAAGTGGAGGAAGTTCCTGAATTTAAATGTTTTTTCCTTATCAGTTTTTCCTTTGCATTTTAAGTAGCAGAAAACAGAAAGCAATTGGATTAAGTGCCGGGATTTCAGAAGTAAAAGTGTAAATAGCAATGTTTGAACACATTTGCAGAGCGCCTGTGAATAGAGCACTACACACTGCAGAAATACTCAGAGCTAGAACCTTATCTTAATGTGTACTAATAATAGATAAATAGAGACTGCTGTAGGCTCCTAAAGCTTCCATTTAGAGAAAGAGGGGCACAAGGAACAGGGTTCTATTAAAACAAAAAAGATAAAATCAGTCAGTTTTTCCCCATTAATTTTTTCCCTCTATGCCACTGGCGATAAGGGCCAACAATGCCAAGCTCTGAGCAGCTGGTGTTTCACAAAGAGAGAGCCCTTGGGGACAGGACTCTCCTGGCAGAGGCAGCCTGGGAGCTCTGCTGCAGAAGCCAGTGCTATTTACATAAGCGCATAAAGGCAAGTCACAGTGCAATTAGCCATATCAGGATCACACCAGTGAACTTGAGGTTTCTTTTAAAGGTTCCCCCAAACACTCTCATGATGGTGCTTTATGCTTTTAATTAGCACACTGTTATTGACTTCAAGACATTAATTCTCTGGGGTCTAGTGGTGATGAAGTTATGACAGGTGATTTCCCATCAACTGCTTGTTCAACTGCTTGTAAGTTACATTCTTCTGTATTTGATAAAAGATAAGACTTTATGTTTAGGTTAAAAAAACCCCAAACCTCTTATCTATTTTCCAGAAAGGAAAAATATTTTGGTGGTTTAGAAGTGCAATAGCATATACAGGCCCTTGAAAAAAGCTGCCATTTAGATGTATTAAAAGAGATTATAAGTGTCAAGAACATTTTTAAGCAAATGGGAATCAGAAGAAAGTAATAAGCAAAAGAGAGAAACTCAACAGATAATTTTGAAAAAGAAACAAACTAAAAACTATAACAAAGAAAACACAACAGAAAAACAAACCAGAAAGCCTTCAACCAAATAGTAATTGATTATGTGGTTTTTTTTGTCCACAAAACAATTTGATCAATATGATTAATAAGTCAGATCTTTGAGCAGTCTATCCTGCCCTCTGCTTTGTTTCATGATGAAAATATTTGTAATTAAAATTTTTATTATTTGCTTTGAGGGTTTTGTTATTTCTATTACTTAGCTTAGAATTTGAGCTGTTCTTTGTCCTTTTGTTTTCTGACTCACTAAAAAGTTTGGAATAAGGAATAATGATCACTTAGGAATAATGAATGACAAATAAACCAGTTCATCTACAAATTTTCAAATTATAATAATTTGTTCCTAAATTAGGAAAACCTTGGGCATTTTGCATATTTTCATAGATGTTCTGTGATTTTTTTTCTTTCCCAAGATGTCTGCATAGCAGGTATTGCTCTGTCAAAAGTGAAGTGCAAAAATATGAAAATTCTTTAGGCAAAAAAAAAAAATGCAGAACAAGTTAATTTAGTAAACAATTAGGTGTAGTGAGTGTTAAACACTAGCTTTTGGGTAAATCATGTTTTGTCAGTAACCTAAGTGATGGAAGACACTTGGTTGCTATTTTCCTGTAAGAGGGCAGTAGAAAGTTCATTCTATCTTGTGTTCACATTTGTTTCATTGAAGTTTGTTTTGTTATCATGTGATAAGGAATGATTTAGAGGTCACAAAGCATATTACTTGCCTTGTATTTCAAACAGGAGACATCAAGTGAAAAAATTATGACAGACCCAAAAAATAGGTTTTTTTTTTTTCTGAGAAAGAATTCAGTTGTGGAATTCCTTGTTTGGGGAAATAAGAGATGGGAAAATTTTACATGGATCCAGAAGGTGATTAGATAGCTTAATCAAAGAGAAAAGCCACTGGGAGAACTAAACACAAACCACCTCTGGCTCCAAGTATACAGGAGCCATAAATTCTTGGAAGCTGAAATAAATACAGTACTTGCTACTGGGTACTGTTGGAGCCAAGGTATAGGCCAGATAGGCTTTCAGTCTGTTATAGCATAGTCATGCTTTTGAATGTCATTCTTTGATTGAGAGATAAAAGAAAGCAGTGAACATGGCAATAAGAAAGAAAGAAAGGAAAGCAGAAGCATGCAATGTTGGGGTGCAACAGTATAACTATTCAGTTGTAATTAATGGTAGTCATATCCGCCCAGATTTTGATCACTCTGTGATCAAATCTGCATCCATAAATATTTCTTTCTGCTATTGCAATAAATATGACGGAATAGAAATTGATATCCCAATATCTAAACAGACCCATGATTAGACTGCATTATGTTTTCATTTGATAGGATTAAGTATGTTATTTGATTTCATGGAGGGAGCAATATCTTTCCCTTGTGACAACAGCGCTGGTGTGGATAAACACTTCAGTTGATAACTGAGGTATAATTATTGTATAAATGACCATTAGTATAAAAATTACATTTTATGGAAATATACCTTAAAAAAAAGTAAAAACTTAAAACACCACAAAGTATTTACCCACGTTTTTACCTACAATAATGTAGCAGTGTATGTTTTGATATATAGTAATTTATATGAAAATATAATTAGTTAATTTCTCTTAATACATCTATTTAGATTTGTACATATATTTAGATTTGTATTATCATTAAGCACCTTAAAAAGGTATAACCTTGTATAGTCAGCTTTACTTGTTGAAATATATTTAATCTGGACACCATTTTGTTATCAATAAAAAGCCAATGAAACAGACACCATAACAATTCCCGATTTCTGCACAATAAATAATCCAATATATTTACATCCCAATTAATAGGTAGAAGAACTCCTACCATAAACTTTTTTTTTTTTTTTAAGAATGTTAGATTCAAGAATAGAACAGAAATTCTTCCATTGAGTTTGTCAGGAATGCTCTAATTTTTTGCCTCTTAACAATCCTATATCAGTCACAACTACCGCAGAAAACAAAATAAACTTCTAATATTCACCGATCTTGAGAAGCCTTTTACAGATGCAATGTGTTTTGTAAAAAAAAAAAAAAAAAAAGCAACCAATCAAACAAATTAAAGGAATAAACATGTCAGAAGATGTTTTTTTCTTTAAAATTGAAAGGAGTGGAAAACAGGTTCTCAGATTAAGATAGTTTTCATAGACACAGTGGATTTTCAGATTAAGAAAGAATATTTTCATTAATTTTAGTTATTTCTAGCTTTTTATGTATGTTGTATATGTATGAAACTGAATTGCATTTTTGGAACTGAAGTATTAACAACATACTTGAGCCTAATTTTCTATCTTCCCTTAAGTCAAACATTGTATATTATGCATAAAACTGTTACTGAGAGTAAAATAGTTTGATTTTATCATATGTTGGCTCTTGTGAAACTATTATTTTAGCTTAATAAAGTCCAGCTATCTGGAAATAAATATGCCTTTCTATTTAAGACTATAAAAGTGCTATATTTATTGGCACAGTATAACAGTAGCTGGTGGACTGATTGCAAGGCAGGAGTTTAGTAAAGGCCAGATCTGGGTTTATACTTCTTTAGTAAATTCTTCAAGGTGGTTGATGAACTGGCCAGCCAATGGTAAACATGCTTACACAACACAAATACACCAGGACTTAAAATCTCAGTTGTTTTTATCCATGCCAAAAGCTGTCAGACATCCCCTTTAGGCCTTCAAATGTATTTTTAGAAAATTCTAACCTGCAGTATCTGTCAAGCTACTCCTATATTTAATGCAGATATAGAAGTAAAAGGAGCAATAGAGAAGATTCTGCAAGCTAACACAATATGTAAAATTTTCATCATTTCCCTTGTACATGCTACAGCTTATTTCTCTAAGAGTGTGGCTGCATAATAGCCCCTGTACAGACCTCTCTCTTTCCAAATCCCCCCCCCACTCTCTCTCTTTAGGTGTTACTTCTTTCCTTCATTATTTTGTGAGATTCAGAATTTTTTTTTTCTTGTTGTACAGGATTTTTAATCTCTCTGTTTGACAGCTACTCACTCTTTTCCAATGACATTACTTTCAATAAGTGTATTTTTAAAACCCTGTCTTCCAACACTATTAACATTTTCTCTGTCATTTTCTGAGAGTGACGTATTGTTGGGAGGCTGCCCAGCCAAACTGTGCCAGCACATTATGTTAAACAATGTATTGAGACATGTCAAAACAACTCTCAAAAAAATCACATTTATATCAACAATCAATAACACAGAAAATAAATTATGGGAAACCAATAAAGATACTGGTTTTCCATGCAATTTGGTATAACTTTGATTACTTTTTTTTGACAGCAGCTGAGTGGCTAGCCCAATACGTTTCTAAAAGCTGCAGCATACAACTAATTTTTGCTGTTACTTCAGAGGTGTATGTGTTAATATCTCAACTAGAATTTGTTGATATCTTCATAAAAGTGCTGGAAATTCCTGAATTCTTCTCCGAGCATGGAAACTTCTGTCTAGACATTTTTATAGACCTGGATGACAACATTTAGAGTTTCCCAAACATTTTCACTACAGTTGTATCCTATGTGGATATTTATTTAATAAAACATGAAATGGAACTGTGCTCAGATTTCACCTGAACAACCTACTGCATGCAATCAGGTATATTGAGCTACTGGAAAGTTATTATACACATTATCATGAAGAACTCTACATAAGAAAGACATCACAATGAGTCTGCCTACTCTTCTAATTCAGCTCTGTGAGGACACTAGTCATACACTCCCTTCTCTTATAATGCATACAGTGACAAGGCATATTGTCCATTAGCAAAATCCCTCTTTTTATGTCACTAACTTTCAACATACTTCAACAAGAGCTGACTGCACACGCCAGATCCTTCAAGTGTCAATAAAAAATGTGGTACCTGGATGTAATTGTATATCACACACCACCAGTATGGCTCACTGCAGTTAGTTAACCACAGCTGTAATAGAATGAATGCCATAAAATTAAAAGTAAGTCAACATTTTACGGTGGTTAAATAAAGCATTTTTAAAGTCATAAAGCATGCAAAAAATCTAAAAAGGTTTCTGGGAAACCTTTCTTACAGAAGGGCACCAGTTTCCTGATGCAAATTTCAGTTTGATTTTTCTCCTTTCCTGGAGAGCACTAAAATATAAAAGTTTATTTAGTAAATGTTCCAGATCTCTGATGTACTTTAGTGACACAATTCTTTCTGAAAAAAATGAAATTTTGAGGTCAGGTATTATCACTTATCAATTACATGTTATGATACATCAATTACATCTTTGATGCTTGGGGGAAAAAAATCATCATTCTGATAGGTCTTTTTTTCTAAACACCTGAATTTATTACTGCTCCTATGTCTTCCCAGATGACTTTCTACCATTCTTACCATCAGGGAAATGCTCTCAAAACTTAGTATTCTCCTTAAATACTTTTTGCAAATTTGGATTTTAACTTGAAGTTATTTTCTTTTAAGGCAAATTCATTTGAAATGGTGCATCAGTCAACACTAGATTACAAAATGAATAATGTCATAAATTATTTCATGGCATTGACCAATGTTTTCCCTCTGTGTAAGAAAAACAAGAGATCGCTTGACAACTATGAGACTGCTTAGTCTCACTGAGATAGAGGGTTTGAGGGCAAAATGACACAGAAGATCTGTTTTGAGATTGGGAAGATATAAAGAATGCTTTAAGCAGATTTAAAAAGCACAGGAAGAAGGGAAGGCTAGAAGAGGAGCAATAAAATAAGGAAGCACAAGGAGAATAAAAGTAAAAGGGAAGCAAAGGAACAAAGAGAAAGAACTGCTCTTGGCAATACAGTTTATCTGATACATTATTATGAAATGTAGCTTCATTGAAAAGCACTGATCTATAAGCTCCAAATGTTTTGTCTGAAATATCTCAGATTTGATTAACTTTCATCAAATCTGAGGCCTGAACTCCAGAAAGGCTGCCTTGAGGCTGCAGAGCCTGGGAACTGCTGATTGCCTTCCCCCATCCTGGTTGTTGCCCAAAAGCCAGGTGCCCAAGGAGTCCCAAACACTGTTTTGCATAATAATTGGTTTCTACCATTATTAAGAGGTTTGGAATAGTTCAAATCAAAGTATATAACCTTGTTACTTCCAACAAATCAGAATTTCTCCTTGGTAACCCCAAATAGTCAGTATGCCTTCAACATTTTTTATGCTTGTTCTGGCACTTCGTCGGCATGGACTATGAGAAAATTTCAATCTATTTTCTTGTTTTTCAGTTTCTTGGCTACTTGAGATAGAAATTGAGTCAATTTTATAAGCAAATCTCTCTTTAGGGGTTTTGCTACAGCAAACCATTACGCATCTACTACTGTGTAACTGCAAAGCATGACAATTTTACTTCCCAAATGGTTTACCCCAGACTTTTTTGCCCAAGTAGAGGGCAAGTTTGACTGCACAGTACAAAACACATAATTATTTATCTTTTTGTTTACATGGCTTCACAGCAATTCCTCTTTCTGTTTCTTTGCTCTCTCCAAAAAATAACATGAAGGTTTTCTTGGCTCTGAACCCATGCCTCATTTTCACAAATGCATATGCTCCTAATTCAAAGACCCCAACCAACAGACCATCTCCTTAAGTATAGGAAAAAACTGCAAAATCTGCAGTACTATGTGTCAGTTACAGGAGAACTGGAAAGACTTTTTCTCAGAACATGAATCTTTCACTCCATCATTCTCTTCCAATATTTTGCAACCTGATTGAATATTTCTTAGCTATGTTGATTTCTTCTTATTTGTATTTTAACAGGACATCAAGCAACAACCTAGCACTTGCACCTTGTAAACTACATCAGATTTGAATAAACAATGGAAACTTTTTAATGTGCTATCTAATCTCAAGATCTTGCATTTGTTGTAATATGGCTATGTGCTCGCTCACAGCCTGCCTTATCTAAATTAACACAAGAGAATTCTGTTCTTTGCAAACAGAACTCTGCCTTTGTACAGCACTTTCTTTTTAATAGTACTGGACAAGAAAACACCTAGTGAAATGATAGAATGTAAGAGATAGGGCTAGTTAAGAAAATAAAACAAATTCTTCTACTTTTTTTTTTAATAATTAGTTGAATAGTTTATAAATGTGTCTCTAGCAGTAAATAGACCTAAAAAACTTTAATTTAAAATCTTACATGTGTTTATAGCCTATATAATTTGAATTAATGCATCTTTAAAGCAGAGCAATGTTTACTAAGCTTTAGTTTCTTATGTGTATGCTTGACTCTCATTCTCAAAGATTCAGGTCAAATGGATCTTGGTTGCATTTTTTTGTCACCCCTCTGAAAAATTCAGATTTTCAGCATAGGTTACATGCAGTTCATAACTGCATTACCTACCCTCTCACCCTAGCTAGAAATATCTTTCCTGATATTAGCATTCAACTTTATAAAAATCTCTGCTGAACTTATCTCTATCCCTTAAATAATTTATGCTTTTGTGCTCTCTATTGGTTCACTCTTTTCCTCTTTCCTTAGAAAGATTTTGACATCACATAGTTTTAATACACGACTCTTCTACCCACAAAAACAAACATGCAAAGCAAAAGCATTTTATATGGCAAGAAAGGCATTATGTATTTGGAAGGATGTAAGTCAGTACTTCATTATAGGTGATTTCACACTGGATAGAGCTTTTGAAAATGACAGCAGGTATTGTTAGACTTATTAGTGGTTTCCATTAACTCATGTTGGGATCTGATTAAACTTCCTTTCTGTTCATATATTTTTTCTCTAGTGTGTGGAGATGTTCCAAAAATATTTCCTAGAAGATCCCAGAAAGTGTCAGAAATTGATCACAGACTTCTTCTTCAGAGAAGTCTAAATTACTGTGAGGCCTTACTAATGTAGGCAACAAAAGTCTTCCAGTTCTTCAGATATTCTGGATAAATATACCAAGATGCTCAGCAGAGTGAGTTATGTGCTGTGCCCTGCTTTAAACGACTGGCACACCCACAAGGATACAATGCCTCTTCATTTGTCAGACTACCCAGGAGTAATCTTATCTCAAAGCAAAGTTTAAGAGTAGAATGGTGTTTACTTAAACGATGATTTGAGATAGGGGTCATGAACAGCTATGACAAAACATCAGTATTGAGGCTATATTTAACCAAAAGGATTCTCTTTGGGTGTTCCAGCTGTTATCTGCTTTGCCACTGCTGGGTAATTAGCCTATACAATGCACACTTGGCCCCAGAGAGTTCTTTTGGCTACTTATTCTTTTTCCTATTGATGGGAAGACTATCTGCAGCATCCAGGGTGGCTGCCCTGGGTGACCTGCCCTTTCTCCAAGCTTGTATAGGATGACCTTATTTTTCTTCCATGCTAATGTTTTCCTACCCCTCACACTTCATGCAGCTGGGCATTGAGACATCACAGGGCAACAGAAGGGATTAAATAATTTCCTTTCCCTCTCTTTTAAAGATAGTTTTATTAATATTTTTGTTACTTACTTTAATTACCATTTATATTTAAAGTGACTCATGCATGTTGCAGTTTTCTTAAGAATTCTTGTAAAGCTGTTCATGATGTGTCTTCCAAAAGATAAAATGCACCTTTTTCTACTAGATTTACAGCTTCTTTTTCTCTGTGTCTCTCTTATGAAGAACAACCATTTTATAACAGGAATAGAGAGTTGAAAATGTAATATTTTGTCAACATAATCACAGACAAATTTTTAATCCCCCACTCAGCCCCACAGATAGATATTCACTGCCAAAAACACTATCTACAGATTTTTTTCCTGCTACCAGACAGAAGGAAAATACCATGCACTTACTTACAGGTTGATAGGCCCACCCCTGAGCTCCATATGACAGCTAATCAACAGAAAACCAGAAGAATCATTCCAAAGCTCTAATTTGTTCTTCTGCCAAAGGAATAAAAGAAAACACACAACCAATGCATGTTGTGTGGGATATGGAATAGACTTGGAGGAGTGTGGCTATCCTATTGTGTCTAGACAGCTGCTCCAGATTGCCAGTGTCTAAATACCTGGGCTGATAACATTCAGGCTTTGTTCTGTGACCACATTCTATGACCATTGGCCAGTGTCCCATAGGCACAGTTCCCAGAGAAGTTTGTGGTAATTTCACTAGAAGAAGACTGGATTTTGAGAAGTAGCATAAATCCTTGTTTCCTCATCTGCTGATGTCTATCTTTTGGAGATTTTCCATCTGTTGGTCTGTAAAACAGTCACATTTGTGTAGAAGCTCTGCAAGTTGCAGGGCATACTAAGCAATCATGGGATTTTATTATTAAGAATCTAATAATAATTCTTTTGCCCACCTATTTATCTCTTCTAGGTTATGATGTATGTTGTATATCCTTTTCCTAGGATAAAAAAGAAAAGTTGTATAGACTTTTCTTAGGTATGTGTTGTTTAGTCTCAGTTGTTTGTTAGTTTGTGTGTGTATGAATTTATTAACTCCGTACCAGGCATTTTTCAAGTTTCAACATTCACAGGCCCATTAAATCCATCTCTCTCTGCTTTCAGTTTTTTACAGTAAAAGGAGTATTTCCTAGTCTTCAAAACATATCCTGGAAAGGCAATTGCTGTCAGGACTAGTAAATGTGGAACGGTATCTGAAGGTAGAGCATCTATGATTTCTATTCATTACTGAAATTCACCGATGCCTTCAAACATAATTCTAGACACTTATGAAAGCCAGTCATTCACAGGATCATCATAGAGTGCCCTGCATTGAAAGGGACCTTAAAGATTATCTTGTTCCAACCCCACTGACAAGGGCACACACTTTTTACTTGTCCAACCTGGCCATGAAAAAATCCAAGAGTGTATACTTGTGCCTATATTAAATTTATGTCATTTGAGATGGCTAATTAGGTGTTTGAACCTGAACACACAATATATTTTTTGTCCATTCTATTTTATTCTTGTGAAGTACATAGATTAAATAATCCA